GCATGTTTTTGCAGTTGCTGGTACTGGTTGTTCCTTCCACGTTTAGTGCTTACTTCAGGAGCTCTTGTAAGGCAGGCCTGGTGGTGATAAAATCTCTCAGCATTTGCTTGTCTCTAAAGGATTTTATTTCTCCTTCACTCATGAAGCTTAGTTTAGTTGGATATGAAATTCTGGGTTGAAAATTCTTTTCTTTAAGAATGTTGAATATTGGTCCCCGCTCTCTTCTGGCTTGTAGGGTTTTTGCTGAGAGATCTGCTGTTAGTCTGATGGGATTCCCTTTGTGGGTAAACTGACCTTTCTCTCTGGCTGCCCTTAACATTTTTTCCTTCATTTCAACCTTGGTGAATATGACAATTTATGTGTCTTGGGGTTTCTCTTCTCAAGGAGTATATTTGTGTTGGTCTTTGTATTTCCTGAATTTGAATATTGGCGTGCCTTGCTAGGTTGGGGAAGTTCTCCTGGATAATATTCTCCAGAGTGTTTTCCAACTTGGTTCCATTCTCCCTGTCACTTTCAGGTACACCAATCAAATGTAGATTTGGTCTTTTCACATAGTCCCATATTTCTTGGAGGCTTTGTTAGTTTCTTTTTACTCTTTTGTCTCTAACCTTGTCTTCTCACTTTATTTCATTAATTTGATCTTCAGTCACTGATACCCTTTGTTCCACCTGATCAAATCAGCTATTGAAGGTTGTGCATGCATCACGAAGTTCTCATGCCATGGTTTTCAGCTCCATCTGGTCATTTAAGATCTTCTCTACACTGTTTATTCTAGTTAGCCATTCATCTAACCTTTTTTCAGGGTTTTTAGCTTCCTTGCAATGGGTTCAAATATCCACCCTTAGCGCAGAGAAGTTTGTTATTACCCACCTTCTGAAGCCTACCTCGGTCAACTTCAAAGTCATTCTCCCTCCAGCTTTGTTCCATTACTGATGAGGAGCTGTGATCCTTTGGAGGAGAAGGGGCACTCTGGTTTTTAGAATTTTCAGCTTTTCTGCTCTGGTTTCTCCACATCTTTGTGTTTTTATCTACCTTTGCTCTTTGATATTGGTGACCTACAGATGGGGTTTTGGTGTGGATGTCCTTATTGTTGATGCTGATGCTATTCCCTTCTGTTTGTCAGTTTTCCTTCTAACAGTCAGGTCCCTCAGCTGCAGGTCTGTTGGAGTTTGCTGAAGGTCTCCTCCAGACCCTGTTTGCCTGGGTATCACCAGCGGAGGCTCAGTCGGAAATGCAGAAGTCACCGGTCTTCTGCGTCGATCACGCTGGGAGCTGCAGACCTGAGCTGCTTGTGTTCGGCCATCTTGGAATGCAACCTGTTTGTTTTTCCAATTTAAATATGATATCCCTACATGTAGACACTTTTGATCTAGGCCCTGCCTGAGCTTCTTGAATCTGTGGTTTTGCATATCTGTCATTAATTTTTGAAAATTCTCAACCATTATTGCTTCAAATGATTCTGTTGTTTTCTCCTCATTCTAGAATTCACATTACATATATGTTATGCTTTTTGTAATTGCCCCCGGTTCTTCGATATTCTGCTTCATTTTTTATTCTTTATTTCCTTTGTATTTCAGTTTGAGGAGTTTTCTAGTCATGTATCTTTTTTTTCCCATACTTCTGCATGTTTTGGATTTATTTTGCTCTTTTTAAAATTTAGGGTCCTGAAGTGAGAGCTTAGATTATTTGTGTTAGACTTTTCCTCTTTTCTAATGGCATTTTGTACTATAAATTTAACTTTCAGCACCTTTTTAGCTTTGTTACATGTAGTTTTATATGTTATATTTTCATTTCCGTTTAGTTTGGTGTATTTTTTTTATTTATCTAAGAACTTCCTCTTTGATGTGTGAGTTATTTAGAAATATATTGTTTAGTTGTCAAACTCCTGGCAATTTTTCTGTTATATTTATCTTATTGATTTCTAGTTTGATTCTATTGTGGTTAGAAAATATGTTATTTGGCTATTACTTAAAAATCAAAAAATAACAGATGCTGGAAAAGTTGTGGAGAAAAGGGAACCCTTATATACTGTTGGTGGGAGTGTAAGTTAGTTCAACCATTGTGGAAAAAGTATGGCGATTCCTTAAAGAGCTAAAAGCAGAATTACCATTCAACCTAGGAATCCTATTACTGGGTATATACCCAGAGGGATATAAACCATTCTACCCTAAAGACACATGCACAAATGTTCATTGCAGCACTGTTCACAATAGCAAAGACATGGAATCAATCTAAATGCCTATCAATGACAGACTGGATAAAGAAAATGTGGTACATATACACCATGAAATATTATGCAGCCATAAAAAGACAAGATCATGTCTTTTGCAGGAACATGGATGGAGCTACAGGCCATTATCCTAAGCAAACTGACAAACCAAATATCACATATTCTCACTTATATGTGGGAGCTAAATGATAAGAACCTATAAACACAAAGAAGGAAACAATAGACATTGGGGTCTACTTGACTGGGGATGGAAGGAGGGAGAAGACCAGAAAAGATAACTATTAGGTACTGAGCTTAATACCTGGGTGATGTAATAATATGTACAGCAAACCCCTGTGACACATGTTTATCTATGTAACAAGCCTTCACATGTACCCTGAAACCTAAAAAAAAAAAAATAAGAAAATACACGTTCTGTATGATTTTAATTTTAAAATTTTGCCGGCATTTGTTTTATGGTTCAGGACATGAACTGTCTTGGAATATGTTCCACAGGCACTTGAAAAGAATCTGTATTCTGCTGTTATGGGTAGAATATGCTATAAATTTGATCCTGTTGGTTGATGGTTTTGTTCAGTTCTTTTATAACTTGCTGCTTTTCTGTCTAGTTGTTCTATTGTGGATTTGTGTATTTCTCCTCTCAGTTCTATCAGTTTCTGCTACATATCTTTTTCAGCTGTGTTGTTTTATGCATATGGTTTTAGAATTCCTATGTTTTGTTGGTGGATTGGCCCTTTTATCATTGTATAATGCCTCTCTCTGTCACTGATAATTTTATGTGCTCTGAATTCTACTTTGTATGATATTAATACAGCCACATCAGCTTTCTTTTGATTAATGCTTACATGGTATATTTTTCCACCATTTTACTTTTACTTTTAATTTGCCTATTTTGTTACATTTGAAATGAGTTTCTAATAGATTTTGTATACTTAGGTCATGTTTTTTATTCACTCTGCAAATTTATCTTTTACTTGGAGTAGATATACACCATTTACATTCAACATAATTGTTTATATGTTAGGGCTTAGGTCTGTGTATTTACCTTTCTTTTTTTTTTTTTTTTTTTTTTTTTTTTGTTCGTTCTCTCCATTCTGTTTTCCTTTGCATGTTCTCTTATGAGTCACAGGAACTTTTTTAGAATTCCATTTTGATTTATCTATGGTGATCTTCAGTGTATCTCTTACTATAGCTTCTTTAATGGTTATTCTAGGTATTATGTGTGTGTGTATATGTGTACACATATATATGTATGTGTGTATATGTATACACTAGAGTCATTGTTTTACTAGCTTGTGTGGCATACAAAAATCTTACCTTCCTTTACTTTCTTTTACCCTCCTCTATTTAAAATATAATTGTCTTAAGTATTTTCTCTCTATGTATTTAGAATTCAAGAGGATAGCAAAGTGTATTGTCTTAGCCGTATTTTTCCTTACTATGTCCCTTCTTCTTTCCTGATGTTTCTAGATTTCTACTTTATCATTTCCTTTCTGTTTAGAGAATTTGCTTTAGTCATTCTTTGAGGATAGGTCTACAGGCAACAAATTTACTTAGGTTTACCTTGTATGAGAATATCATGTTTTCCTCTTAATTTTTGAAAAATATTTTCACTGGGTATAGGATTGTTGGTTAACAGTTTTGTTTTCTCTTAGCACCTGAAAAATATTGTGCCACTTCCTTCTGACATTCATTATTTCTTTCAGAAAAATGTTGTCGTTCTAATTTTTTCCTAATAGTGAAAATTTCATTTTTCCTTTGGATTTCAAGATTTTTTTTCTTTAGTTCTCAGAAGTTTAATCATGGTGCATCTTGGAATGAATTGTGAAGGTCTATCTTATTTGGGATCTGTAGGTTTATATCTCGACAAATTTGGGGACATTTTCAGTCATTATTCTTTAAGTACTTTTTCAGCCATACTCTTCTTTTTCCTCCTTCTGAGACTCCAATGCCACAAATATTAGATCTTTTGTGATAGTCTTTTATGTCCTGAAATCTTATTAAGTTTTTTAATTCTGTTTTCTCTCTGTTGTTTAGATTAATTTCTATTGTCCTCTTTTCACTTATTTTCTCCTCTATTCTCTTCATCTGATGTTGATCTCATCCACTGGGGGTTTTTCTAGTCATTGTGTTTTTCAGTTCTAAAATTGCATTTGGTTGGTTTTTATGTTTTCTATTTATTTGCTGAGACTTTTTTTTTTTTTTTACTTATCACAAGCATATTCATAATTGCCCATGGAAGTATTTTTATCATGACTCCTTTAAAATCTTTGTCAGATAATTCTAAAATTTCTGTCATCTGGTATTAATATGCATTAATTATCTTGTTTATTCAATTTTAGCTCTTTCTGGTTCTTCTTATTTTGATAAGTAATTTTCAATTGAAAATTTGATATTTTCATATTATGTAATGAAACTCAAGATATCATTTAAAACTTCTTTAAGCTGTATTTTTCTGACACTACTCTGAAAGGGGAAGTAGGGGTGCTGCCCTGTTACTACTGGATGATAGTAGAAGTTTGGGTTTCTCACTCAGCCTCCACTGACACCCGTGTGTTGAGGGCTCTTTGTTATTGCTCAGCAGGACTGTGATTTTCAGCTCCTCACATGGTCTCCACTGACACTAGTGGGGGTGGCCGCATTATCACTAAGCTATAGTAAAGGTCTTGACTCCTCTAGTTTTGATTTGACACCTAACCAATGGGGAGAGGATGACTACCTCATAACTGCTGAATGTGATGTAAGCTCAGGTATTCCACATAATCTTTGCTGATACACAAAGTATACGGTCCCAGCTCCCTGCTTGTCTTCCTCTGACACCACCTTTTTGGGGTGGTATGGGATTTCTTTCTACAGCCACACAAGGGTGAAAGTCTAAGTTTCCATTTACCCCGTGATGGCATGGCAGGGCGGGGCAGGGGTGGTGCAGGGAAAGACAGAGACCATAGATGTTTTTCGTGGTGTTTGGCTGAGTGAAGAGATCATTGCCTGAATATTTTTTTTTCTTTTGAAAGACTTGCTGGTTCTGATAATTTAATAAACAAATTAAATGTTTTAAATTTCTTTTTCTTTTCAGATTCAAGGGTGGGTTTGTTATACAGATATATTGCATAATGCTAAGGTTTGGGCTTCAATTGAACCCATCACTCGAATAGTGGCCACAGTACCAAATAGGTAGTTTTTCAACCCTTGCCCTACTTCCTCCCTCTTTTGGAGTTCCCAGTGTCTATTGTTCCCATCTTTGTGTCTGTGTATACCCAATGTTTACCTCCTACTTATAAGTGCAAAATGTGATACCTGGTTTCTTGTTTCTGTGTTTTGTTTTTTGTTCATCCAATCTTGGATAAAGAAAATGTGGCACACGTGCACCATGGAATACTATACAGTCATAAAAAAGAATGAAATCATGCCCTTTGTAGCAACATGGATACAGCTGGAGGCCATTATCTTAAGCAAATTAACACATAAACAAAAAACCAAATACCACATGTTTTGGGGTATCTAAGTTGATTCGATGTCTTTGCTATTGTGAATAGTGCTGTGATGAACATACAAGTTCAGATGTCTTTTTGATTGAACAATTTTCTTTAGGTTATATACCCAGTAATGAGATTGCTGAGTCTAATGGTAATTCTATTTTTAGTTCTTTGAGAAATCTCCAAATTGCTTTCCACAGGAGCTGAACTAATTTACAGTCCTACCAAAAATGTCTGAGTATTCCCTTTTTCCATAATTTTGCCAACATCTGTTCTTTTTTGACTTTTCAATAATAGCCATTCTGACTGGTGTGAGATGGTCTCTCAATGTGGTTTTGATTTGCATTTCTCTAATGATTAGTGATATTGAGCAGTTTTTAAAATATATTTGTTGGTCACTTGTACATCTTCTTTTGAAAAGTGTTTGTTGAGGTCCTTTGCCCTCTTTTTAATGGAGTTGTTTGTTTTTTCTTATCAATTTGTTTAAATTCCTTATAGATTCTGGACTGCTCCCTTGTTAGATGCTTAGTGTGCAAATATTTTCTCCCGTTTTGTAAATTTTCTGGTTTTTTGTTTTTTGTTTTTTGTTTTTTGTTTTTTGAGACAGAGTCTCACTCTGTCACCAGGCTGGAATACAGTGGTGCAATCTCAGCTCACTGCAACCACCGCCTCCCAGGTTCAAGTGATTCTCCTGCCTCAGCCACCCAAGTAGCTGGGGACTACAGGTGCACCCCACCATGCTGTGCAGAAACTCTTTAGTTTAATTAATTCCCAATTGTCAATATTTGTTTTTGTTGCATTTGCTTTTCAGGACTGAGCTATAAATTCTTTGCTTGGTTGTCTAAATATTTTCTATCTTCATGAGCTACTCCTTTCCTAGACCTTCACCAAGGCTTTTGTTGGTTGGTTTGTTTGTTTGCACTTATTATTATTTATAGGTTGCCAGTTTCTTCAGCTCCAAGTCTAGGATGTATCAGGCCAAAAGAAAGCCCAGAGTGCCCATCATCATATTGTTCATCAGTCCCAGAGTTCCCTAGCAGGCCTCCCTGCTTCTCTTCATGTTTCTTTGTCTTCTTGTTCTTATTTTATATATAATGTCCAGGGATTTTAATTGTACTTAGAAAGAGGAATAGAGGGCCAGGAGCGGTGGCTCATGCCTGTCATCCCAGCAGTTTGGGAGGCTGAGGCAGGCTGATCACCTGAGGTCAGGGATTGGAGACCAGCCTAACCAACATGGAGAAATCCCATCTCTACTAAAAAAATACAAAATTAGCCGGCCATGGTGGCACATGCCTGTAATCCCAGCTACTCAGGAGGCTGAGGCAGGAAAATCACTTGAACCCAGGAGGCAGAGGTTGTGGTCAGACAAGATCACGCCATTGCACTCCAGTTGGGGTAAAAAGAGCGAAACTCTGCCAAAGAAAGAAAGAGAGAGAGAGAGAGGGAGAAAGAAGGAAAGAAAGAAAGAAAAGAAAGAGGAATCGAGAAAAGTACACTTACTCCATCTTCCCAGACATGGAAGAACCACTTTTACATTTGTCTTATTGAGTTGTATGTATAAAAAGCATTTGACAGAATCTAACATCCAGTTATATTTAACTAGATGTTTTATGACTTTTATGACTACAAGTCCTTTTTTAATATTTTTATTATAGTTTTTTCTTTCAGTCTGTGGTCTTTTTCTAAGAGTGTCTTTCGAAAAGTAGATGAATGGGTTTAATTGTGATAAAGTACAATTTATAATTTGGTGTGCTTTTTGTGTCATATTTAAGAAATCTTCCCAAATCCATGGTAACTAAAATTTGTGTCAATGTTTTCAAGGTTTTAACATTGTAGGTTTTACATGTAGATCTATGATCTTTCTTGTATTACAATCCATTGCTGTGTATTTGTATATGCCATGAAGTGAGGGTCAAGGGTCTCCCCCACCCATGAAGGTATTCCATTCTTCAAGAACCATTTGTCAAATATTAAATGGCCATATGTCTGTGGGTCTATTTCTGGACTCTTTTCTGTTCTACTATTCTATACATCTGTCTTTAGACAAGTGTCACAGTATTTGATTCTTGCAGCTTTATAATAGGTCTGGAAATAGGTAGGAAAGTCTTCTCACTGTGTTCTTTTTCTTCAAAATAATTTTGGTTATTTTAGGTCCTTTGTATTTTAACATAAATTTAAAATCAGTTTGTCAATTTCAACAAAAAATGCCTGTAGATTTTGATTGCATTGACTATATATATCAATTTGGGAGGAAATAATGTCCAAATAATATTGAGTCTTCCAGTGCATGGGTATGGACCCCATTTCTTTCTGTTGGCAATGTTTTGTAGTTTTCAGGGCACAGGTCTTCATATCCTTTGTCAATTTTATCCCTAAGTGTTTTCATATATTTTGGGGTTATGCTAAGTGGTATCTTTTTTGTTTTTTGTTTTTTGTTTTTGTTTTTTGAGATGGAGTCTTGCTCTGTCACCCAGGCTGGAGTGCAGTGACATGATCTCGGCTCACTGCAACCTCCACCTCCCGGGTTCAAGTGATTCTCCTGCCTCAGCCTCTGGAGTAGCTAAGATTACAGGTATGCACCACCATGCCTGGCTAATTTTTGTATTTTCAGTATAGACGGCGTTTCACCACATTGATCAGGCTGGCCTCGAACTCCTAAACTCAAGTGATCCGCCCACCTCGGCCTCCCAAAATGCTGGGATTACCAGCGTGAATCACCATGCTGGGCTGATATTTGTTTTTAAATTTAAATTGTGATAGTCTATTCTAAGCATATAAAAACAAAGTTTTCTTCCATATTGATCTTGTACTCTGCAACTTTGCTAAACTCATTTATTTGTTCTAACAGATTTTTGTAAATTTCTGCATAGATGGTTATATTATCTGCCAATAAAGACAGTTTACTTATTCCTTTTCAATCTTTTATTTCTTTTTCTTTCTTCTTGTGCTGGCTTAGACCTCCAACAAAATGTTCAACTGAAGTGGTGAGGATGGACATTCTTGCTTTGTTCCGTATTGCATGGAGAAAGTATTCAGTTTTTCACCATTAAATATGTTATTAGTTGTATGTGGGATTTTTTCGTAGTTGTTCTTTATCAGGTTAAGTTCCTTTTATTGCAAGTTTGCTGAGAGGTTATTATTTTTATTATAACTAGATGTTAGATTTTGTCAAATGCTTTTTATATATTTACTGAAATGATCATGTCATGTGTTTTCTTTTTTCTGTTAATAAGTGTTTATAAGGTGAATTACAGTTCAATTTTCAAATATTTAATGAGCTTTTCATTTCTTACACAAGAATTTTTTTTCTGTATCTATTGAGATTTTTTTCATTTCTTTTTTTAATATAGTGAATTGCATTGATTTTATTTTTAAAATTTGTGTATATTCATGGGGTACTAGCGCCATTTTGTTACATTCATATAGGATTGTGGTGAGGTCAGCGCCTTCAGTGTGTCCATCACTGGAGCAATGCACATTGTGCCCACCAAGTAACTCCATCATTGCCTGCCTCCCACTTACTCCCATCCCTCCGAGTCCCCACTGCTCATCATTCCACACTCAATTTCCATGTGTACATGTTACTTAGCCCCCACTTAGGAGTGAGAACATGCGGTATTTGTGTGTCTGAGTTGTTTCACTTAATATAATGGCCTCCAGGCCGAGGGTGGCGGATCACCTGAGGTCGGGAGCTCGAGACCATCCTGACCAACATGGTGAAACCCTGTCTCTACTAAAAGTACAAAAATTAGCTGGGTGTGGTGGTGGGCTCCTATAATCCCAGCTACTTTGGAGGCTGAGGCAGGAGAATCCCTTGAACCCAGGAGGCGGAGGTTGCAGTGAGCCAAGATTGTGCCACTACACTCCAGCCTGGGAGACAGAGTGAGACTCCATCTCAAAAAAAAAAAAAAAGAAAAGAAAGAAAACAGATAATGGCCTTCAGTTCCATCTTTGTTGCTTTGAAAGATGTTATTTCAGAATGCATTTATTTTTGAAAAGAGACTTAGAAGTTATCCTTTGTGGGCAGGGGATTAAGATAACGGCCACTCATAAAATGAGATCTTCCTTTTTCAATTAGAATGATGCCATCCAGGAGTCACAGAAGACAAGTGGCAGCACTTAAAGACCTGAAGCAAGCTGGGCACAGTTTCTGTAATTGGCAGCAGAGCCCAAGAGGTAATTAGAAATATGTGAAATAACATTGGATGGGAGTTATTTAATCATTGGACTCTCTAAGATCAAAACAATGAGTAACTCTATGGTCCTACCTGCTCTGTGTGATTGATCATGCTGTGGATCTAGCGAATAGGACTCTTTTGAGTCATTATTTAAAAAAAAAATCACAGTCCCTTACTCAATTCCAAGGCCTGAGTCAATTCATAGACCCAGAGCCCTTGGAACAAAAGGAAAACCAGTTAAACACTGAGTAAGAATAGTAAGATAACACAAATGTATACTGAGAATCTTCTTCCTTGCCATGGCCAAGAGGACTAGAGACCAGAGTAACTGATGATTAAGAAAGTGAAAACACCAGAACCATTCAGAAATAATTAGACTCTGACTGTGAGTCAACACTAGTTCTTGGGAAATTTTAGAGGGCACTATGATCCACTTGTCAAAGTGTGGACTTAGAAAATTTTCTTCCCATCTCTGTAACTTCGGAGTTGGTTAATTTAGAGGTTTTAGAATTCAAGAGGAAAATACTTCTAGCAGGAGGTTACAGCAACACTTCCATTAAGCTGAAAATAGAAAATTCCAGCTGATCATTTTGACCTCTTCATGCTGCTGGATAAACAACCAAAAAAATTATTGTGTTGGTCGAGGTAATTGGTTCTAATGTTCAAGAGGAAATAGGGGTGCTGCTACAATAACAAGAACAAGAAGGAATATTTCTGGAACCAGAAGGTCCTTGAGAGAAACTCCTGGCCAATATTGCACTGGGAACAGTCTCAGTGGGACTGTAAATCCAGATGTAAAAAGAGATTTCATGATCCTTTTCCTACCTCCCCAACAGCTACTAATGAGTGTGTACATGGCCTAAGCCTAACTGATTGGAAAATCTCTTCTTTTTTTCTTTCTTTCTTTCCTTTCTTTCTTTCTTTCTTTCTCTCTTTCTTTCTTTCTTTCTTTCTTTTTCTTTCTTTTCTTTCTTCTTTCTTTCTTTCCATTCTTTCTCTCTTTCTCTTTCTTTCTTTCTTTCCCCCTCCCTCTTTTCTCTTTCTTTCCATCCTTCTTTCTTTTGTTCATTCTTTTTCTTTCTCTCTTTCTTCTTTCTTTCTTTCTTTCTTTCTTTCTTCTTTTTTGTTTCTTTCTTTCTTATTTCTCTTTCTCTCTCTGTCTCTCTCATCTTTTAGTCAAAGGTGATAGGATGAAAGAAATGGTTGGAGCTCGGTCACTCTAGCTGGCTATCCTGCAGAGAAAACCACTAGCTGCCCACTAATATCCATGCTCCCATCTCCCATAGTAAGCAAGCCTTCATCAACATTGGACCATACATCTCAGATAATTAGGAGAAAAAGAAATAGACTTATTTGTTCTTACAGCCACTAACTTGAAGGGTTTCTCTCACAATCCTAATACATACCCTAATGGTCAATTAACTTCTATCTTGATCTTAGGCCTGGTATCCAATCTTTATGCCAATTCAGTGATTTCTATAACCAATATGATAATTACAATTGTAATTACCCTTGGGTAAATGAATACTACAATCAGTCTTCAGCCATTGCATTAGCTGAAAGGAAATCAGTTGACAGTCCTCTGGAAACAATGCTCTGTCATAGGGGATGCAAGTGTGGCAGAGATTACTGGTTGTTGCCAAATCTGTTTTCTCCTTCTCTTGTAATAATAGATCCCCCACATTTGCAGAATACATGGCTATTCAGCATTCCTTGAAACAAGGTATATGACTAAGTCCTGGCCAATGGAATGTAAGCAGAAGTGATTTGTGCAGCTTTCCAGTTGTGCTCTTAAAAGAGAGAAGAACATCCTCTCCTTACTCTGTCTGGAAAATAAATACAGTATGTGATGCGCTGTACTAGTGTATCAGGGTGGCACAGCAGAGACAGCAAAAAAAAAAAAAAATATATATATATATATACACACACACACACACACACACACACACATACACACACACAGCCTGACACCATGGACTGCTATAAGAGAGAGAAAAACTTCTATCTTATTTAAAACACTTTTCGGGGTGGCAGGCAGGGGGGTCTCATTAGAACCAGTATCCTAATTGATGCACATGTGTTCTAATAACAAAACTGAGATGTTGAAAGGGACACTCAAATATGTGGATTAGGTGTCAGGAGAAGGGCTCTGGCTTCCCCAGGGCCGCTTACTTGCTAGGTGAGTTAGGCAAGTCCATTCCCTTCTCTGGATCTCAACTTCTCTATTGGTAAATGCAGCCCCTGACAGCTTGAACAGCCAAGACTAAGATGAGAACGTGCCATACTAAACATAACAATGAAAAAGAAAGTATAGGCACAAGCAAGTCCTGCCAAAGGCGAACAGATCCTCGGAAAACATCTTTTGAAATGCATGTAGTCGGGGAAACTCCATGCCCATTTATTTATTTATTTATTTATTTATTTATTATGCTTGGTGTTATTCTCCAAGACATTTGTGTTTTTGAATAAATCTTGCACATTCAGTGCCAAACTTGCATCTGCCTCCTCCTGCTGAGAAGTCATAATGCCATGTTTATGACACCAGCCTCTGTTTCCATGGGGATGATTGTATCAGTGTAATTCCAGCATTATGACTTCTGGGTACGTTTGAGAAGATTGGTGAAAGCAATGAAAAATATTTAAGTGTACACATTTATTATGATCCCAATAACTCACAGGAAGGATACTGCTGAAAATAGAGACTAGGAATCAGACAGATGTCCACTAAAGGCTGAGGTCATTTTTTTCTGATGGCTAAAAAGGATGCTTAACCCCTAAGTCCTTCCTTCTTGAAGTCTTTGGTCTGCTTTATTTTAAATGTTTTGCTTTAGTTTTTAATATGACATAATTTCCATTAGGCATCTGTAAGGCTTTTATCTGCTCATTGCCTAAATCTTTCATCTGGATGGGGACTGCATTAAGCTCATCCTGAATAATGGCCTCTATTATTTAAATCCATTATTCAAATTCAATTTTTCTAAGAAGTTATCACTCCTACTCCATCTGCAAATATGAAAATTTAAATGTAAAGGTCCCTCTTCAAATTTTCCACAGGAAAAAAACATGTCATCCATTTAAGTGCATGCTTCAGACACTGAACATTCTGTAAGAAGGCGATTTTAACCTATTTCTTTTTAAGATCAAAATTGAGATTTCAAAAAATTTTGCTAATTACAAAAGTAATTCATGTTTACTGTGAAAAAGAAAATCAAACACTGAAGAATCTGAAGTAGAAAGTAGCTACCCAAAATTCTATCCAAAATTGCTATAACCCACAGAAACATTGTTTTATCTCTATGTTTTTCTAAATGTTTAAATATTAAAAACACGAATATTTACATAAATTGAATCATATGATTCTGTGGCAGACAATTTTCCAAAGATGGTCACAACAATATCCCTCATCCTGCATGCTTCTCTGCAAGTTCCTTGCCACTCTCCCATCAAGAAATGTTATTTCGCCGCCTCCCTGAATCTCAGCAGGACTTTGGATTGCTTCAATCAATAGAATAGAGCTGATACAATGTTATACTAATTCTGTGTATAGCCTTTAACTGGCCTGGCAACTTCCACTCCCTGCTTTTCGGAAGGTAGACATGTTAAGAAGTAGAATTATCCTGAGACCACCATGCTAAGAAGAACTGAAAGATGAGATTCCTTTTTGAGAAGTAATGAAATCAAAGTGCACCAAGGCACTAGAGATGCTTTTCAAATGCAGATTTGTCTGTTGTTTGGTTGGTTTGTTGCTTGACTCTACTCTTACCTACATACGTATCAACACACACAACATGTAAGACTTGTAAGTGAAGAAGCCATCTTGGAAGTAGATCCTTCTCTCCCACCTGACCTGGCTGACTATAACACAAACCACCCAGCCGAACCCTTCTTGAGTACTGATCTATTAAACCAGAAGCAGAATAAAAGAGTTACTTTAAGCCCTTAAGTTCTGGCATTGTTTGCACCGTTGACATTTAAATAACCAAAACACATGGTTTGAGCATTTTTTATTTTAAAACAAATCCATCTCACCTATTTAAGCAGCTCTTATAGTATTCTGTCATATGCATTTACCCTATGTTAACTCAGCCTCAATATATGTACTTTTAGACTATTTTCCATTGTTATTATGCCGTAACAAATATTTCTTTACATTTATCTATATGTATCTGATTGTTTTCAAAAATAAATTCTTGTAAGTCATATTACTGAGCCAAATGAGAATTCAAATATTACATTTTGATATCTTCAGCCTGATTATATTTCAGAAATGTACAAATTTATTCTCACACTAGGAACATGTAAGAGTTTCTCTCTCCCACACTTTCATCATCACTGGATTTTATCAATCTTTATCATTTTAGCCAATCTGCTGACATATACATAGTTTCATTTTTATTGTTCATTTTTTATATTTGGTAAGTTGCTGACTTATCAAGTATAAACCATTTCAAAATCATTTTAAAGCTTAGTTTCTTATATAAATAAATAATTTTATAAATGTGTGTCCAGCATACAGATAGTATATAGTATATATTGTATATATTATTGCTATTCACCAGTATTTCCATTCCTTCTTCCCTTCTAGAGGAGCACAAGAGGAACAGATTTTCCTGACTCTTTGAACTTATCTATGACCATGTGCTTTGATTTGGGGGTTGGGGTATGGGGAGAACAAGTTAACATGCATCAATTCCAGATGAAAACCTTTAATTGCTGGTACATAATACTTCATGTTCTCTCTTCCCTGGCTGCAGCCATCCAAAAAACATGTGTGGACAGAAAGAGTCCATAAGACCTAAATGTCCTGGAAGGTGAAGCCAAACTATTGAGAAAATTACCTGAAGAGTCTTCCAGAGGCTGAGACTTCACCTGAGCAAGAAATAAATGCTTCTTACATTAATGCATTGCGATATTGGATTGTTTAAGAATAAGAATAATCTAACCTACCCTGAGTGATATGATATATACATGTATGATCCTAGACACATCTTTCAAATGCAGATGTGGTTGGTTGGTTTGTAAGTTGCTTGACTCTACCCTTACCTACACATATATCAACACACATGACATAGGTCATCTTAGTAGAAGGGTTTTAAAATCTGATATGTATCTTTCTATATTTTTCCTTTATACTCATAATACTATAGAAATATTCATAGTGTGTATGTAAAGTGGGATCCTAGTCTTTGTTTTACAAAAAGAAAGTAGACTATTTTACACCTGTCTCTGTATCTCTCTGTATTTCTTATTCAGTAAGTGGAACCCATCTTACAACTCTGATTCACTCATTTTACTGATTGCCCAGCAGAATGCAGTACGCATGATGCAGGAGAATTTATTCAACCAGTATTCCCCCATTATGGGCTTCCACTTTGATCTAGCTTTGTGGCATTGAAAACAATGCTGCAGTAAACATCTCAGTGCATTAATACATCCATTAATACATCTACTTTTACATCATGGGTTTTGTTTGTTTGTTTGTTTGTTTGTTTTGGGGCAGAGTCTGGCAGTGTCAGCCAGGCTGGAGTGCAGTGGCATGATCATGGCCCTCTGCAACCTCCACCTCGCATCGCAACCTCCCAAGTAGCTGGGACTGTGGGCACGTGCCACCACGCCTGGCTAGTTTTTGTAATTTTTGTAGAGACGGAGTCTCCCTCTGTTGCCCAGGCTGGTCTCCAACTCCTGGGCTCAAGTGATCCACCCTCCTCAACCTCCCAAAGTGGTGGGGTTATAGGCATAAGCCACCACGCCTGGCCATCTACTTTTATTTCTATTGGCATTCTCAGGAGAGGCCTGGTAAGGTTAAAGGATACATGTGTTTTTATTTTTCATACATGCCATAAGATTACTTTAGCCAAAGGCTATGACACTGTGCGTTTCCACCAGGAATATGAGAGTATTATTTTCTTATATTCCTAAGAGCATTAAGTGTTGTAGCTCTTTCCAATGAATGTAAACTGGAATCTCACTGCTCTTTAAATTTGCATTCTCTTGGCTACCAGTGAATTTAAGCATCTTTTCAGTCATTATCATTTCTCTTATGGCATCTACGTTTCTTGTCCTTGTTAAGAAACTCACTGATGCCTATGTTACAAGATTTTCTTAAAAGAGTTTTTGTTTGTTTGGTTGGTTTTATTTTTTACACTTGCACATTTCAATCCTAAGAAACTATTTTAAAATTAAGATATTATTTATATAAAATAAAATGCACCTATTTTAAGTGTACAGTGTCAGGCCTCTGAAACCAAGCCAAACCATTGCATCCCCTGTGACTTGCACGTCCGCCCAGAGTACCTGAAGTAACTGAAGAATCACAAAAGAAGTGAAAATGCCCTGCCCCGCCTTAACAGATGACATTCCACCACAAAAGAAGTGAAAATGGCAGGTCCTTGCCTTAAGTGATGACATTACCTAGTGAAAGTCCTTTTCTGGGCTCATCCTGCCTCAAAAAGTTCTCCCACTGAGCACCTTGTGACTCCCACTCCTGCCTGCCAGAGAACAACCCCCCTTTCACTGTAATTTTCCTTTACCTACCCAGATCCTTTAAAACGGCCCCACCCTTATCTCCCTTCTCTAACTCTCTTTTTGGACTCAGCCCGCCTGCGCCCAGGTGATTAAAAAGCTTTATTGCTCACACAAAGCCTGTTTGGTGGTCTCTTCACACGGACGTGCATCACATTTTGGTGCCATGACTCGGATCGGGGGACCTCCCTTGGGAGATCAATCTCCTGTCCTCCTCCTCTTTGCTCCATGAGAAAGATCCACCTATGACCTCTAGTCCTCTGACCAACCAGCCCAAGGAACATCTCACCAATTTTAAATCAGGTAAGCGGCCCCTTTTTACTCTCTTCTCCAACCTCTCTCACTGTCCCTCAACGTCTTTCTCCTTTCAATCTTGGTGCCACCCTTCAATCTCTCCCTTCTCTTAATTTCAATTCCTTTCATTTTCTGGTAAAGACAAAGGAGACACATTTTATCCATGGACCCAAAACTCCGGCGCCAGTCACGGACTCGGGAAGGCAGCCTTCCCTTGGTGTTTAATCATTGCAGGGATGCCTCTCTGATTACTCATCCACCTGTCAGAGGTGTCTGACCATGCTGCGGAGACACCTGCCTTGGGGTCCTTCACCCTTAGCGGCAAGTCCTGCTTTTCTAGGGGAGAGGCAAGAACCCCGATCCCTTCTCTCCTTGTCTCTACCCCTTCTCGGCTTTCCTGGGGGGCAAGAACCTCCCGACCCCTTATTTCCGTGCCCAGACCTCTTATTTTTGTGCCCCAATCCCTTATTTCCATGCCCTGACCTCTTATTTTTGCACCCCAACCCCTTATTTCTGTGCCCCGACCTCTTATCTTTGCACCCCAACTCCTCGTTTCCATGCCCTGACCCTTTCCCGCTTTTCTGGAGGGCAAGAACCCCCGAACTCCTTCTCTCCATGTCTCTACTCTCTCTTTTCTCTGGACTTGCCTCCGTCACTATGGGCAACCTTCTGCCCTCCATTCCTCCTTCTTCTCCTTAGCCTGTGTTTTCTAGAACTTAAAACCTCTTCAACTCACAACTTCAACTGACCTAAACCTAAATGCCTTATTTTCTCCTACAATGCCACTTGACCCCAATACAAACTCGACAGTAGTTCCAAATAGCCAGAAAATGGCACTTTCAATTTTTCCATCCTACAAGATCTAAATAATTCTTGTCATAAAATAGGCAAATGGTCTGAGGTGCCTGACGTCCTGGCATTCTTTTACACATCGGTCCCTCCCTAGTCTCTGTTCCCAATGCAACTCGTCCCAAATCTTCTTTCTTTCCCTCCCGCCTGTCCCCTCAGTCCCAACCCCAAGCGTCGCTGAGTCTTTCTAATCTTCCTTTTCTACAGACCCATCTGACCTCTCCCCTCCTCGCCAGGCCAAGTTAGGTCCCAATTTCTCCTCAGCCTCCACTCCCCCGCCCTATAATCCTTTTTTCACCTCCCCTCCTCACACCCAGTCTGGCTTACAGTTTCGTTCCTCAACTAGCCCTCCCCCACCTGCCCAGAAATTTCCTCTTAGAAAGGTGGCTGGAGCTAAAGGCAGAGTCAAGATTAATGTTCCTCTTTCTTTATCCGACCTCTCCCAAATCAGTTAGCATCTAGGCTCCTTTTCATCAAATATGAAAATCTCAGCCCAGTTCATGGCCCATTTAGCAGCAACCCTGAGACGCTTTATAGCCCTAGACCCTAAAAGGTCAAAAGGCTGTCTTATTCTCATATAAATTTTATTACCCAATCTGCTCCTGACATTAAATAAAACCCCCAAAATTAAATTCTGGCCCTCAAACCCCACAACAGGACTTAATGAACGTCACCTTCAAGGTGTACAATAATAGAGTGGAGGCAGCCAAGTAGCAACTTATTTCTGAGTTGCAATTCCTTGCCTCCACTGTGAGACAAACTCCAGCCACATCTCCAGCGCACAAGAACTTCCAAATGCCTGAACCGCAGCTGCCAGGGGTTCCTCCAGAACCTCCTCCCCCAGGAGCTTGCTACAAGTGCTGGAAATCTGGCCACTGGGCCACGGAATGCCCGCAGCCCGGGATTCCTCCTAAGCCATGTCCCATCTGTGCAGGACCCCACTGGAAATCGGACTGTCCAACCCAGCAGCCACTCCCAGAGCCCCTGGAACTCTGGCCCAAAGCTCTCTGACGGACTCCTTTCCAGACCTTCTCAGCTTAGCGGCTGAAGACTGACGCTGCCCCATTGCCTCGGAAGCCTCCTGGACCATCACAGATGCTTTGGGTAACTCTTACAGTGGAGGGTAAGTCCGTCCCCTTCTTAATCAATATGGAGGCTACCCACTCCACATTACCTTTTTTTCAAGGGCCTGTTTCCCTTGCCTCCATAACTGTTGTGGGTATTGACAGCCAGGCTTCTAAACCTCTTAAAACTCCCCAACTCTGGTGCCAATTTGGACAACATTCTTTTATACACTCCTTTTTAGTTATCTCCACCTGCCCAGCTCCCTTATTATAAAAGGTCAAGACATTTTAACTAAATTACCTGCTTCCCTGACTATTCCTGGGCTACAGCCACATCTCATTGCCGCCCTTCTCCCCAACCCAAAGCCTCCTTTGCATCTTCCTCTTGTATCCCCCAACCTTAACCCACAAGTATAGCATACCTCTACTCCCTCCTTGGCAACTGATCATACACCCCTTACCATCCCATTAAAACCTAATGACCCTTACCCCACTCAACCCCAATATCCATCCCGCAGCAAGCGTTAAAAGGATTAAAGCCTGTTATCACTCGCCGGCTACAGCATGAGCTCCTAAAACCTATAAACTCTCCTTACAATTCCCCCATTTTAACCTGTCCAAAAACCCCAATCCCTTCTACAAAGCAACAACTCCTTTCCTTGCTAGGCATGGTTAGTGCAGTCGGAATTCTTACACAAGAGCCAGGACCACGTCCTGTAGCCTTTCTATCCAAACAACCTGACCTTACTGTTTTAGGCTGGCCATCATGTCTCCGTGCAGCTGCTGCTGTCGCCCTAATACTTTTAGAGGCCCTAAAAATCACAAATTATGCTCAACTCTCTACAGTTCTCATAACTTCCAGAATCTATTTTCTTCCCCCAACCATCGCTCAAAACAACGCTTATGCTGATAAGGTAGCTAAAAAAGCAGCCATCAAAAGGCATCAGATCCCATCGCTCGGACAATGCTTATGCTGATAAGTTAGCTAAAAAATCAGCTAACGTTTCAACTTCTATCCCTCATGGCAGTTTCCTCCTTCACATCAGCCACTCCCATCTACTCCCCCACTGAAACTTCTACCTATCAATCTCTTCCCACACAAGGCAAATGGTTCTTAGACCAAGGAAAATATCTCCTTCCAGCCTCACAGGCCCATTCTATCCTGTCGTCA